TGGCGTTAACCTATGCTGCCATCTTGGTTTCTCAGGAGCAATGCTGCAACTTTGGATATTAACAAAACTTAAATAATTTAGGTCCTGGACGGGTTATTTAGTTGGTTAGAATATGGTCCCAGTATGCCAGGAAGTTTGTGGGTACAATCCCTGGTCAGGCCACATAGTACAAGAATCAACCCAATGAAGGCATAAATAAGTGAAACAACAAATCAGTTTTTTTTTTTCTCTTTTTCTCTCTCTTCCTCTCTCTCTCGCTCTCTCTCCTTCTCTCTCTCTCTCTCAAATAAATTAAAGCAATTCAGTAAATGTAAAATGGTAATTTTAAGTTGATATTGTGCCTACTTAGTATCAGATAATACGCTTATCTGATAATTGCATTGTCCAGTCCTTTGAACTGATTATTATACCAAAGTTACAGGTAAGAAAATGTGAACCGAGAGGTTAAAGCAGCTTTATCAACTGGCACATCTTAAAAGGAGAAGATCCAGTTGTCAGAAAACAAACATTCATGGTCTTTTCTTATTCCTTTTCATGGACAAAAATGTAATGCATATACATATAGTCAGTGGTTCTCAACCTTCCTAATGCTGCGACCCTTTAATACAGTTCCTTATATTGTGGTGACCCCCAATGTCATTGTTACAAATTGAACATAATTAAAGCATAGTGATTTATCACAAAAACAATAATGTAATTATATATGTGTTTTCCAGTGGTCTTAGGCGACCCCTGTGAAAGGGTCGTTCGACCCCCAAAGGGGTCGCGACCCACAGGTTGAGAACCAGTGCATATAGTTAAACTTCACAAAGGATATTTTTTCCCATTGATATTTTTTAGAGAGAGTGTTACTTTTTTTTTTTTTTTTTTTAAAGAGATAGTGGAGCCCTAACGGGTTTGGCTCAGTGGATAGAGCAAAGGCCTGCGGACTCCAGGGTCCCAGGTCAATTCCAGTCAAGGGCATGTACCATGGTTGCGGGCACATCTCCAGTAGGGAGTGTGCAGGAGGCAGCTGATCGATGTTTCTAACTCTATCCCTCTCCCTTCCTCTTTGTAAAAAAAAAAAAAAGAGAGAGAGATGGTGGAAGGGAGGGAGTAGGGGAAGAGGAGGAGAAAAACACCTATGTGAGAGAGACACATCTATTGGTTGCTTCCTGTTGTCACCCCGACTGGGGTCTGGCATTTGATCCTTTGTCTGGGAATCAAACCGACGACCCTTTGGTGCTTGGACTGACGCTCTAACCATTGAGAACATGGACCAGGGTTGTAATGCATATTTTTACATTTATAATCATAATAGAGGCCCGATGCATGAAATTTGTGCAAGAGTAGGCCTTTCTTCCTTGGCTACCAGCACCTGCTTCCCTCTGGCACCCAGGACCCGGGTTTCCCTCACAGCCGTGGCTTCTTCTGGAAAGTCGTCTGCAAGGTTGTCCAGTCTAATTAGCATATTATGTTTTTACTAGAGGCCCGGTACACAAAAATTTGTGCATTCGGTGGGGAGGGAGGGATCCCTCAGCCCGGCCTGTGCTCTCTCAGTCTGGGACCCCTCGGGAGATAACGACCTGCTGGCTTAGGCCTGCTCCCAGGTGGCAGAGGGCAGGCCTAATCCCTAGGTGCAGCCCCTAGTTGGGCTCAGAGCAGGGCCGATTGGGGAATTGGGGCGCCGCCCCCTGTCATGCACAGAGCAGGGCGGATCGGGAGGTTGCGATGCCACCCTCAGTCACGCTCAGGGTAGGGCCGATTGGAGGGTTGGGGCACCGCCCCCTGTCACACTCAAGGCAGGGTCGATGGGGAGGTTGTGGCACCACCCCCTGTCACGCAAAGAGCAGGGCCAATCGGGGTTGGGGCGCTGCCCCCTGTCATGCACAGAGCAGGGCCCATCAGGGGGTTGGGGAGCTCCCCCCTGTCACACACAGAGCAGGGCGGATCAGGGGGTTGAGGTGCCGCCCTCTATCACCCACAGAGCAGGGCCGATCAGGGGGTTGGGGCACTGCCACTGTCACACTCAGGGCAGTGCCGATGGGGAGGTTATGGCCCTATCCCATCACACACAGAGCAGGGCCCGTGGAGGGGAGATTGGGGCGCTGCCTTCTATCACCCACAGAGCAGGGCCGATCAGGGGGTTGGGGCGCTGCCACTCTCACACTCGGCAGGGCCCATGGGGAGGTTATGGCTTTACGCCGTCACACACAGAGCAGGACCCGTGGTGTTGGGGGGTTGGGGCGCCGCACCCTGTCACACACCGACCCGCAGGGCAATCAGGAGGTTGGGGAGCTCCCCCCTATCAGGCACAGAGCAGGGCCGATCAGGGGGTTGGGGCCCCTTCTCCTGTCAGGAACAGAGCAGAGCCGATAGAGAGGTTGTGGCCTCGCCTCCTGTCACACACAGAGCCACAGGGCGATCAGGGGGTTTGGGCGCTGCCCCCTGTCATGCTGATCCCGGTGACGGGAGACCTCGCGGCTCCGCTGATCCCGGTGCTGGGAGGCATATTACCCTTTTACTATATAGAATAGAGGCCTGGTGCATGGGTGGGGGCTGGCTGGTTTGCCCTGAAGGGTGTCCCGGATCAAGGTGGGGGTCCCCACTGGGGTGCCTGGCCAGCCTGGATGAGGGGCTGAGGGCTGTTTTCAGGCTGGGACTGAAGCTCCCAACTGTTCCTTTTTTTCTTTTCTTTTTTTTGTTTTGTTCTGAGCCAGCTTTAGCTCTGAGGCTCCAGCTCTGAGGCCTCAGCTCCTAAAAGCAGGTATCTGGTTTGTTTAGATTCTACGATCGAAACTCTGTATCAACTCCAGGTCTGAGATCCTGGCCAGCTGAAAGCTGGTTTCTGGGGTTTTGTTTAGCTTCTATTTTTGTAACTGTTTCAAACTGCCAGCTCAGAGGCCTGCAGTGGCAGGCGGGGAACGTTCGAGTCCTCCGTCACTGAAGCAAGCAAGCTTCATGTTAGTTTCAAGCTGCCTCGCTGCCGGCCGCCATCTTGGCTGGCATTTAATTTGCATATCGCCCTGATTAGCCAATGGGAAGGGTAGCGATCGTATGCTAATTACCATGTTTCTCTTTTATTAGATAGGATTATAGAAATGGTAGGTAGTCTTAAAAAACTACAAAAATTACCAAGGTATGATAAATTTTACAGGCTATATTGGATTGACTTTCTTGGATACTTAATGATAGTAGGACTTTTTTCTTGGCTTGGAGTATTGAAGAACTAGAGGCCCGGTGCACAAGATTCATGCACGGGTAGGGTCCCCAGGCCCAGCTAGCGATTAGGTGGGATCAGGGCCTGCTTTCATTCTGCGCCACTCCCTGGTGGTCAGTGCATGGGGAAAATTTGCATATTAGGCTTTTATTATATAGGCTTTCCTCTTAGGAATATAAGTTGATTATATATTTTAGATTTTTCCCACTAAAGTAATTATGTGATAGTTGCGTAGCTCTCAATGTTTGTTGCACAATGGAGTCATCTAAAGAGGTTAAAAAAAAATACTGATGTCTGGTCCACTTGCCAAGACATTTTCATTTAATTGGTCTGTGGTTAAAAGGTATTTAAGTAATTCTAATTAGCAGTTAGTTATGGTTGACAACTAATTGTGTAACTGTTTGAAATCATTTTAGTCATATTTGATATTCTTTAAGATAACTAAGTGTTATCTCATTGGGCATGTTATTAAAATTACCTGGTCCCTATTCCTTATGCCAAAACTGACTTTTCTGAAAGAGTCCTAAAATCTATTTTTTAATGTATATTTTTTAAGTTTCCCATTGTTTCTGATTATCCAGGTTTGGGGCACTGGCATTTTGGAAAGAGCTTTGTAATTAGGATAGATTTGGCTGTGTATTCCTGCTGAACTGAGCAGTAGCTGAATGGCTAGAATACATTTATAATCTATTTGAATTATTTTTGGGGAGAGAGGGCATAATACACAATATGTTTCTAATCTATAAGATGACATGATAATATTTACCTTGTTAGGGCTGTGATTCCAGTCCTGTTATGGTTATGATGATAGGGTTATTGTCACATAGAAAGTTAACTGGAACTGTTAATATTATGTAAGTTCTGAATGTAGTGATTTATTACGAAATGTTAAAATTGAAATAATTTATGTTTATTTTAGAAATCCCGGTATCATGATGAGAGACAAGGAAAATAAAAGCAACCAATAATTGTGCCATTCAGAGTATTTCATTATTTTGATGTTTTTTAGTCTTTGCTTGTATGCACATATAATTTGGTAAGATATTACAAAGATTTTTACATTTGGAAAGTTAATCCACCACTTCTCAACACAAATACACTTTTTGTTATCTTACATTATTGTGGAACTCCTGTTCTTGACATAGCAAGTATAGTGACAGTGGGATTGGAGTGATTTGTTTATCTTGTTTAAAATGATCTTGTTCATTCAGCCTTTTTCCTCTTTCAGGAATTCTTTCCTCATTGCCCTTTTTTATAAGACACTGACTTAGTGTAGGAGGAATTTCACACTAATTGTGTTGGGAGAGATGCTTTTTGGGCTTTATGTAGTGTATAACCACTATACCTACGGTTTGTCTGTTGTGGTTCTTACATGCCCTCTGCTGATGTCTCTCAAAGCATCTTTTTGGGTTTTGCACTTGCAACGGAAAATTCTGATTTGTTTAAAAGGCGTAAGTGATATACAGCTATCATTTATTCTGTTTTTAGTATTTTTTAGTCCCTATGTTAAAAATATCTTACCTATTTTAATTTCTGAAGAAAGGATGAATTTTATGATTGTCTTAATACACATGAAGAAACAGGCCCAGGAAGTTTATTAATTTTATTAATTACACAGCTTATAATCTTTAATTATAAGGTTATATAATAAAGACATGAATGAGAATAAATTACTATGAATTTTGCATGAATATGAATAAATTATTATGTATATTGCCCATAATAGAGAGTCTATATGCTCATTGATAAAAAAAGTACAGAAGGCAAGCTAAAATATTAATGGATAATCAATATTTTATAGATTTAATGAGGCGTCAAGAAGAACTCAGACGCCTGGAAGAACTCAGAAACCAAGAGCTGCAAAAACGGAAGCAGATACAACTGAGGTAAAAAAAATACATTGTAACATAGATGTGAATACACATAGTTCTTGTGTGTTACTAATAAAACATCACCCTCCCAGTGTAAACAAATTGTACAAGTTGGAAAATACAAACAAAATTGTCCATTTTTGACTATACTTAGGGATTTATTCCACGAAGTCGCGTATTTTTTTTTGTTATTCTTAGGATTTTTTAGCTGGTTATTGACACTTTGATGGCATACACTGTGACTTTTCATATGGGGGCCTAGGCATTATTGCATACAATTTATTGTAAGAATGCACTATGATTTACTGCATTTTCTTAGTTTTAATTTTTTGCCTGTGTATGACAATGATATGAATTCCTTTATGCATCTTTGTGCTTCTGAAACACCTTTCCATGTACCTGTAATATTTAATTGTGAAATATGAGGTAAATGTTACTCTTAAAAGTTAAAAATCATAATAATTAGGAAATGTTATGAACAAAGTTATGATAGGTTAAAGCAAACTTAAAATTTGTTTCTGAAAGTACTATAAAAGTGTAGTAAGTTCTTATATAGGAAGTAAGGTGCTCATGGGAAATAAAAAATAAAGAAGAAAGTAAAAAGTCTTGAATGAGTGTAAAGTGTCTTCATAGTCTGGGAATAGGTAGTATTCAGTATATTTTAGTTTATTTTTTCCAACTTTGTACCTGGTTTGTATATATGCTTATATCTTGGAACTACTATGATTTTACTTTAACCTACTTATTCTCAAATTGTAGTACTTGACCAGGCCACACCAGTGTTCTAACTGGGGGAATCGTTAGAAAGTCTGAAACCTCTCCTCATAAACTATAGGGACAGAGCTTTAATAAATTCTGTAAGTCAGCGGTTCTCAACCTGTGGGTCGCGACCCCTTTTGGGGGTTGAACGACCCTTTCACAGGGGTCGCCTAAGACCATTGGAAAACACATATATAATTACATATTGTTTTTGTGATTAATCACTATGCTTTAATTATGTTCAATTTGTAACAATGAAATTGGGGGTCACCACAACATGAGGAACTGTATTAAAGGGTCGCGGCATTAGGAAGGTTGAGAACCACTGCTCTAAGTGATTCTGGGATTCCCTAAAGCTTCAGAGTCCTTATTGTATACAACTCACCACATGAACTCCTTACATGAGAGACCTTTTTTCTGGCTCGCTCTTGTATCTTCTTTTCTTTTTTATGTGAATGTGTTAAAGTCTCTTATACTTTTACAAAGAAAAAGAATACTCTTCTTTAACAAAAAACCTTGTCTGAATTCAGCTTTCACTTACAGTGATACAGTGGAACCTTTATTCCAGCAGGTTGTTCGAGAAGGGATATTTTCGAAAACTAAAATCATTTTTTCCCATTAGAAATAATATAAATTGTATTAACTCGTTTCATATCCCAAATTATTCTGTTTAAATGTTTCTATGTACAGTATGTCTAAAGTACTGTTTAATCTTTAAGCAAACACTTATTTTCTTAAATTTATTGAACTACCCCTTTACTAGCCTTAAATAATTTTCAACACTGGTTCCAGGGGTGTCTTTCAGGAGGTCAGTATGAGGCATCTTCACTTTTTCACATATCATTATTTCTGAAATGCTGTCACTTATTCCCAGTCAACAGTTTTTTTTACCTCTTTAATTGCTTGTGATCATTGTTTCTTTCACACCCTTAGCAACATTAGCACTCTTTTTTTTTTTTTTTTAAGATTTTTTTATTGATTTTTAGAGAGCGACACATCGATGTGATGGGAGAGTAAATCATTGATCAGTTGTCTCCTGCAAGCCCCGAGTCTACAACCTGGGCATGTGCCCTGACTGGGAATGAAACTAGCAACCTGTTGGTGCACTGGCCAGGGCAACATTAACACTTTTTTTTTTTTTTGGCTAATATTCACTGGAGGATTTTTTTTTTCATTGATTTATTAGAGAGGGAAGGGAGGAAGGAGAGAGAGACATCTATTGGTTGCCCCCCTGAATTGGGCTGGGGATTGAACCTGCAACCCAGATAAGTGCCCTTGATTTGGAATTGAACTGATGACCCTCCTCTGGTCAGGCTGATGCTCTAACCCAGGAGTGGGCAAACTTTTTGACTCGAGGGCCACAATGGGTTCTTAAACTGGACCGGAGGGCCGGAACAAAAGCATGGATGGAGTGTTTGTGTGAACTAATATAAATTCAAAGTAAACATCATTACATAAAAGGGTACGGTCTTTTTTTTTTTTTAGTTTTATTCATTTCAAGCGGGCTGTAGTTTGCTGTAGAGTGGCTGCTCTAACCACTAATCAACACTGGTCAGGGCAATATAAGCATTCTTGATAACCTCCTTATATTTTAAAATTGTGTTAATCTGTCCATTTGGCCAGTAAGAAAAGCAAAAAACAACAATACAAAACAAAAACCCCAAAAGAACAAATATAAAACCCCCCAAAATATTTATAGCACAATTTCCTGAGATGTTAACAAGGAGAGGTTTAGCTGTATATTGACTCACCTGGGCACATGCTCCTTTGTTTTTACTTTTTCATGCTGATGAATCAGCATGAAAGGGGTGTCAGTATACCAAAGTTAACAAAAGACATTTTAACAGGTCCCGTCCCCCACCCAAACAACTTGGTCTAGAACCAAATTGTTTGAGATGGGAGATGTTCAAGAACCACGGTATGTATGATTGTTTGACAGCTAGGATTTTTATTTTTTAAAAACAATTTAAACTCATTTAATATGACCATAGTAGTGGTTTTTTAAAAAAAAATTTTATTTTTCAATTACTGTTTACATTCAATATTATTAGATTAGTTTCAGGTGAACAGCAGTAGTGGTTAGACCTAACAATCATGCTTTACAAAGAGTTCCTCCTATATTTCAGTACCTACCTGGTACTATATAGTTATTGCAGTACTATTGATTATATTTATTATGCTGTATTATACATCCCTATGACTCTTTTTATTTTATTATTTTTTAATCCTCCCCCAAGTATATGCTTTTCATTGATTTTTACAGGGAGAAGGGAGAGAGAGGAACAGATTGGTTACCTCCTATATGTGCCCCAACTGGAGTTTGAACCCGAAACCTGGGTATGTGCTATGACTTGGAATCAAACCTGTGACCCTTTGGTGCATGGATGATGCTCCAACCAACTGAGCAACACTGGCCAGGGCCCCATGACTATTTTGTAACTACCAATTTGTACTTATTAACCCATTCACCTTTTTCACCCAGTCCCCCACCATCCCTCCCTTCTGGCAATTATTAGTGTTTTCTCTGAATCTATGAATCTGTTTCAATTTTGTTTGTTTGTTTTGTTCTTTAGCTTCCACATATAAGTGAACTCATATTGTGTTTGTTTTTCTCTGACTCACTTATTCACTTAGCGTAATACCCTCCAGGGCTCACCATGCTTGACAGCTAGGCTTTTAAAATTAGTACCCTACCCTTCATGTGCTGAAAAAATAAAAAATTAAAACCAAAGAGAATTTTGGAGAACCCAAAATAAAGTACAAACCTAACAAATGGCCTAACTAGTGTTGCTCAGTGGTTGAGCATTGACCTATGAAGGCCAGGGCACATGCCTGCATTTTGGATTCAATCCCCATTAGGGGGTGTGCAGGAAGCAGCCAGTCAATGATTCTCATCATTGATTTTCTATCTCTCTCACCCTTTCCCTTTCCCTCTGAAATCACAACAAAAAAGAAGACAAACATAACAAATGTACCTAACTATATTTCCACTGGAAAATATCACACTGAAAGCAGGTGGGAAAGAAAATAAGGAATCTAAATAACTTTGGAAAACAGTATCTTGATTGGATACTATAGGCCAATGACAAAAAGAACAATATAATGTAGTTGGTGTTTTTCACTGAGATGATGTGTTAGCAATTCTGAAACTGCTTTATTTGTATGTTTGTTTTATCTTTATTTAGGTCTTTAATGAGAATAAATGTATATTTATAAATTGAACACATGAGTAAATATAGATAATGAGACCCAGGTTTCTCAGTGTTGGAGAACAAAAAGAGCAGGGCTAAAATTAAAATGATCTTCTGTCATATTAGGATCAGAGGTGTCAGTTTGAATTTTGTAGTATTTAATTTAGACAAATACAGAAATATAGATGTGTGTATATGTGGGTGTCAAGGTGCATTCATTATTTTATGGTTCTATCTTGAAGCAGTGATGCCTCAGAAACGGTGGGCCCATCTAGTGCCCAGATTTTTGTTTCAAAACACCTTTCTCTATCTGTAGCCGTTTTGGCTCAGTGGATAGAGCATCAGCCCATGGACTGAAGGGTCCTGGTTTTGATTCCGGTCTAGGGCATGTACCTTGGTTGCATGTACCTCGGCTGGACATGCACTGAAGGCAACCAATTGATATTTCTCTCTCACAATGATGTTTCTCTCTTAGTATCTCCCCCTCCCTTTCACTCTCTCTGAAAATCAATGGAAAAATTACCTCAGTGAGGATTAACTTTCTTTCTTTACTTTTTTTTTTTATCTTCACCTGAGGACATATTGAGAGAAAGAGAGAGAGAAACATCGTTGTTGTGAGAAACATTGATTGGTTGCCTTCTGCACCTTCAACCCAGGTATGTTTCTTGGCTGGGAAGCAAAGGCAACCTTTCAGTATGAAGGACGAAGCTAAACCAACTGAGCCACTCTTGAGGGCTGGCTAGGACTGAAAAGCTTAAGATGAGCCTGGAACCTTTTTGCCAACTAGCAAGAATATAATAAAAAAAGGATGGGATGTGCCCCGGCTCGTGCCTCAGTTGGTTGGGCATCGTACCAAGCACCAAAAGTTTGCTGATTCCATTCCTGGTCAGGGCACATGCTCTGGTTGTGGGCTCAGTCCCTGGTAGGGGGCATATAGGAGGCAGCCAATTGATGCTCTTTCACATAAATATCTCTCCCTCCCTCCCTCCCTCCCTCCCTCCCTCCCTCCCTCCCTCCCTCCCTCCCTCCCTCCCTCCCTTTCTCTCTAAAAATCAATAAAAAGCC